GCTGTAGTCCATGAAAGCTTATGCTCTAATAAATTTGTTAGTCTCTAAGGTGCCACAAGTACTCCTGTTCCTTTAATCTAAGCCACCAAAAGCCAAGACGCAAAATAAATGAAAATGTAAGAAATTCTCCGATAAACCATTCCATTATTTGATCAGAAAGTGTTATATCTATGAATTATTTTTTCACTTAGGAATCCATCTGTGACAATTGCTACCACTCGTCTGGCTCCTTCAGGTGTAAGTTGGGCTGATAAGGTGAAAGCTAACCATGGAGCTAAAGCTGCCACTCCACAGCTAGCATCTACACAAACCTGCATGCCAGCACCAGTGCAGAAGTCATCACGGAGAAATGGCAAGTGTCTTTCAGTGAGCTATTATCTAAAATTATTATTATGGTCCAGCTATTGAAAAGTTAGTTCAATGTGAGATGACTTATTTCATAACAAAAATGAATCAATCAAAATCACAACTTTTGTTGTTACAGTACACCAATTTAGCTTTACATAAAATAACAGTAAAATTAAATTAATGATCAAAATGTAGGTTCTTCCAACATTGCTTTTTCAATGCTGCTGTTCAAGTTGAGGAAGATTTCCCTTAGCAAATTTGTTTTTTCAAGTGCTGATAACTTTTCATTGACTAGTAACCTACCTGACACCTCATATAGGAAAAAAAAATGTGACTAAACTTTTGGTTTAATGAAACTACTATTTATCTTTCTTTAAAACTCCTTCAGAGGTTTGTTTTCTAAACTTCATCATGGACATCAGGGTTCACAACTAAAAAGCAGAAAAGTGTTTTGATTCTCAGGTTCAGAAATGTACAAATGGCCCCACAAGAATAACCTTTGATATTTTCCAAAAGAGCTTGAAGATGTGTGTCCACAGAGACTAATGCACTAGACCTGTGCTAAAGAAGTGATAATGGATGGCTTGTTCTTTCTCTGAAGGGTTGCCACACTAGATTGTAGTTCCTTTCCCTTTGTTTAAAGAGTGTCCTTGGAGAAGCTTTTAATTCACAGCCTTTTGCTCTAGAGAAGATCGTTTCACTGGAAATAGTAAAAAACAAACAAACAAAACTTTGCCTTTTGCTTTATGAACTTTCTCTCTCTCTCTCTCCCTCTCTCTGACGGCATATATTGGGGCCTTGGAGTTTTCTCCAAAGATTGTTTTCCCCATTTATCTTTTAATTTATTGACCCAGTTTTCTCTATGCAAACACAGAGTTGAGATAGAGAAAGTAGATATCCTCCCCAAAAAATGAATTTAGAATCCCATTTCTAATATATTTAGTATCTTAAAGAAAAACTACTAGAAAAGAAAGACATGCACTTCATGTATTTACACATTAAAAGTATTGGTAGTAAAAATTATGCACCATATATAGAGCTGTAAATTTTCTTGGTGTTTTACAAAGGTCAAACATGTTTCCGGCCTCAACATATCTTACAATTTAAATTAATTCAGTTTTGTAACAGCAGTTTCATATGGTCAGAAAAGAACAGTCGAAAGCTTACTCATTTCTTGTCTCACATTCATTCATTCGGTCCTGCTATTTTACTGGTCTATCTCCCTGAGCATCATTTTAAAATTACCTCTTGTCTCTAGTGTCACTTCTACTCCTCAACAGTTTGTTTGTTTGTTTCTGGTCTAGCATTTTAATGTATTCTTGACAACATATGTATAAAATGGAAAACTGAGAAATTGCAGCAACAACATGACAGGACTCCAGTGTGGCATATGATTTATTTCAGTGATGTATGTGATTTTCATATAAAAATAAAATAATTAATGTACAGGAGAAATGAGGAGCGGCAGATATCACCAGCTCTTTTTTGACATATATGAACTATACCTCATACAGTAGTTTAAGAAGTCTTACTTTATACCCAGGAGACTGAGCATTCTGACCCATGTTAGAGCTGCATTATTTTGAGACTGCTGTGAAAAATGGAAACTTTGAAGGATATCATCTCAAACTACAAGCTTTAAATGAAATGTGTCTGTTTTAAAACAGTTACAAATTCTTTACTGTCATGAGGTGCCATCTCCTGAGGAACAAAATAAAGGAAAACTACACTCAGCATAAGAATATTTACATGCTGGAAGGGAGAGAAGTGCAGTCTGTTGCTGCTTGGTCTAGTATATGCCAGCTTTTGAGTTGCATACTGGAAAAAGTTCCTGTAAGATGATGAATCTATTTAGATTGTAAGCTCTTTGGTTAGGGACTGGGTTTATATCATGCCAGACATTATGGGTTCTGCATGATTGTTGTCTCTAGACATTACCGCATTACAAATAATAGAGTGGGGAGTTTGGTGGTGAGGAGACAATAAGATAGGAATTCCTATCTAAGGAATAGGAAAAGGGGCTATAAATTCCCACCTTTCTGAGAGCCCACTTCTGGAGGAAATACCATGATTTTCAAAGCTAGAGCGTGGTCTGTTTGTGAGAATTGTATATTTTTTTTGTTTCCAATTGTTACATTTTTGTAACTAAAAATGGAATGTTTTTTGGAAAGCAGCTACTTCTTGTGCTTGAAGTGTACCACCACTGCTTCACATCTACCTGCTACTGACAGCATCTTTGATTACAATTCTTTCAGTTTTAGTAAAGATCTAATTTACTTTTCATTATCTCTGCAAAAAGAAAACACGTCTATCATACCTCCCCATCTCAGTGGATTTCCACTCTTGGGTGCATCCTTTCCGGATGTGATTGTTTGCTTCTGTAACTTCCAATTTCTGGGTCGTTGAAGCACCTGTCATACATCTATTAAAAAATACCACAGTAATTGTATAGTAGAAGCTAGGTCGAAGGAACTTGTTAAAGAGCACTTTTCATTCCTCAGCACATCACCTCAAGGAAGCATAAGCAAAGGACACTGTGTTTGAAAGGGAAAGGAGAGATGAAAGACAAGCCATGCAAAAGGATATTTATGTTGTCCTGATAAAAGTGACAGGCTGATCCCTCAAAGAAACACATATTAAATAAAAGGTTGCTAATAGAAAGAAAGGATTTACAGCTATCATTTGAATTGCTTCTTGTAGCCTGCAACTAAATGAGAATATGTTTAAATGTTGTGTTTAAGTTTGAATAAGCTTCTTTATAGTTCCTAAAACAAATGCAACTGATTCGGATTTGGCTAATAATTTTGCAGAACAGATGTTGGCTGAACATCCCAGGAGATGGAAGGAATTCTTACTTCCTAGGAACAAGAAAAGAGGTGGGGTTATCTTTTTCAGAGAGAGCCACGATCTTAAAAAGAAGCTCAAGAGGGGCTGCAGACTCTTCCTATAGCAGTGGCATGAGTGGCGTATGGGTACCATGCTTGTACAGAAAACACTTTGTGCTTAAGACTTAAGCACAAAGTACCAGGGAATGGTTACTTCTTGTTACACTACCTACATTTTGATTCTTTTATTGGTGCACCAGCTCATACTGAGAACAGATGTACTCAGTACAATTACTCAGTATTGTAGTGAGTACACTCATTGTTGAAATACTTGAGAGGATTTGTACCATGCATCTTAGTTTTATCGGATCATCTAAAGGGGCCCTGCTCTGTCACTGATATTGCTGAGTCACTGAACAGCCTCTGAGTCCTCCTGGGGCAAACTTGTAGGTGTATTGATGAGGATTTGGGTTTCCTCTTGCTTTTTCTTGGGCACTTCACATTCTTAGTCCATATTAAGATTTTTCATCTACAACCTGTCTCTTCAACACTTCAGGGTTTCAAGCCCTGTTTACTCCCCTCACCCAATCTTCCATCTGTGAACTTTGGCTCAGCACGCTATCACTGCATGTCACAGGATGCACCTCTCACCGCTGGGCTGACGTCTCCTGGTCACTCTGAGGATTAGCTGTTGAGGCCGACACCCCCTCCCACAGGTTGCACACCATCACTCCGATTCTGGTCTGCAGCTCCTCTCTCTCCAGGACCCTCAGCATCTCCTTCGTGACTTAGCCCTCTGGATAGGTCACTCAGCGTTTCCCCTTCCGGGGTTCAGTACATCAGCAGTCCTAGACAGCCTTCCCATTCACTGCCTCAGTTCTATGCCACACTCTTGGTGGCTGGTAGGCGAACTTGGGCCCACCCTCTTCTCTTGGTTCCAGTCCAGCTCAGCAGTTCTGGGCTTCCTCTCTCTGCCCTCACTGCTCCTTCCCTAGACTGCTTCCTACATTTTGGTTCCCCTTCTCTCTTTGTGTGTACCAGTTCCAAGAACCCTTCTCCCCCTTTCCAGGGGGTGACTGCTGTCTGCCTTCCTGCAGCCTTTCCCAGCAGCCCCCAACCACTCCTCCCTCTTCCCAGGGAGTGACTGCCCTTTTTCAGCAGCCGCAGACTGTAGCCCTCTACCTGGCTTTATAGGTCCTGCCTGTTCCTGCATAGGTGGGCCTGCATGCAATCACTTAGTTCTCTGCTCCCTGGCTCCTCCTCCAAGTGCAGCCTGGGCAATTAATTGGCCTACCCGGGTGTCTTAACCCTGGTCAGTCCTGCATGGGGTGGAGACCCCATCACACCACACTTCACCATGTCACTTGTCTCTCTTTTTTCACCTTGCTTACCAGTATGTAAGAAGGAAGATGCCCCAGAAGCTTTACTAAGTTTGCATATTGTAGAGAGAGAATATCCTTTACGGACATGCATAACTACTGTGGAAATGTGGAGCTTGCAAAATCGCTTTCAATCTCTGTGGTGCATGCTCTAAGACCTGAAATGCCTGTCACTTGCCTGTGTCAAGGCTTCAATTCCCTTAGTAGTATAACGTGCTATCCCAGGGGACTTGGCACCGATTCTTCATAGAATATGGCATCACTGTCTTTAAAGCACCATGTTCAACCCATTTAAAGAAGTGACAGGTTATCTCCCAGTTTGTGATTTATGCTGTCCTCAATACCTATTGGCAATCCCTGAAATCTTCAGGAACCCAGCTGTGAATAGTATGTGCACGGGTACCCAAGCCAAAAGATTCTCAGATAAAACAATAGGAAATATTGCTGTACCAGAGATGGCTTTGATAGAGATGTGGTTCTTTGCAGCAATTTTCGTGCTTAGCAGCACTGACCTGACACTGGCGCTGGATGGAATCCTCCGTTCCATGAGAGGCCTGAATGCACTGGACTGAATTCATGAGTAGATGGCACAGCTGACAACACATTTATCTGCAGTGATTGTCTTAATACTGTTGGTTTTGGCACCAGTCTCAACTCTCTAGTTTCCTTCCCTGACATAGCACCTGTGACATCTGTTTAAGGTGAACTCTGATGATGAACACTACAAAAGTGATTCCCACTCCTTGTCAACTGTTGAGAATAGCCTACTTCCAACTTAATTGAATTGGCTTGTTAGCCCT